ATACTAGGATTACCAATAGTGTTATTACTCATATCTAACAAAATTTGACAACGAACATTGTTTAACAATAATAATTTCGATCATGTAACATCAAGAATGGTAGATATCCACATGCGTCTGAACGGCAGTGTACGTATTATGTACACTACACGAAAGAAGAGGAATGGTCTGGTGATAAAGTCTCTCATCTCTCGTCGTAACTTCGTCCTGTGACGCAGTAGCGTGCAAGCCACAGACAGGAACACGGATACGAACACGAACGCGAGAGGAGAACGAGCGCAACGTCGGCGAGGGGATGAGACAGACGAGGACAGCCAGAACGGTGCACAGGGGAAGGGGCGCAAGGCAAGGGAAAAGGTCGGCGAGTGGCTCATCAAGCTGATAACCCGCGAGCGGAGAAGAGAGGAGAAGAGTAGAGAAAAGAAGCGCGTGTCGCCCACTCATGGTGATTGCTGCCACCAGGTTTGTTCGTTCTCCCGGAGCACCCCGTCCCGTGTCCCCCCTCGCGCCGCGACGTTGATCGGTATCCCTACCCCAGCCAGTTATCCCTCCCCCGAATGAAATTATACTCCCACCAGTAGTCCACGTCGTCCCTACTATTCTCGAGAGCGACCCGTTCGACCGTGCCTCCGTGCCTCCGTATTACCTTCTGCCGTCGAGCCGGGAGAGTGGTCGGATTGTCCACCCACGCTACGTTCCTCGCCTTCCTCCTCCTCGCCGTTCGTTTCACCCTTCTGTTTGCTTTCACGGCCATTCCGTCTTTCCCCAATTTTACCTACTCGCAAGAAAGGAACCAGAGGACACACGCACGACGATTCTGTTCATCCGTTCTCGATAATAATTCCGACATCTGCATGCTGGATAAAAAACGCGTTAATGCGTCGCGGTAGATATTTATGTTAAACACTTCCGTCAAGCGGAATGTCATTCCATTTGCAGAATATTAACTCGCATTACCGAGTAACACGTGTGTACACGATCGCGAGTCGGTAGATTAAAGGACAGGGACAGGGACAGGGTAATCATTAATTCGTTTTGAAGAGAAACGCGAGACAATTGTCGAATTTTGACAGTAAAACGAAACATTTGAATCGCGCGACCACGCGATGGGCTATTCTTTAAGCGAAATTATCATCCCCGGGGGATGCTCGATCATCGGAGTAAGGATGATTGCCCGTGGCTCGGTTCGCATGCGATTATCCGTGCGTGTTGTTCTCCGCGTTTCGTTTCGTTTCGTTTCCTTCCGTACCTCGCGTCCAATTTAGCCAGATGACGGTGGCATTGTCGAATTTCGCTTCGATACGGGAATACAAAGGAACAGGGAGAACGCCGAGGGCACGGGTACCTGCGCACCGACTTCTTGCGGCTCCAGTACAGAGGGTTAGTGTCCAAAGGCGTATCGTATCCTCGTGTCGTAACACAGTTCTGTCTTATGACAGATTTCAAACAGAGTTTTATAATGCAGAGATCAGACGGTGGACCAATAGTCTAGAGTCAGTCTAACGAGAGAACGATAATATATTTAGAGTACTGGAATTATGGAAAATTTTGAAGAGGTAATAAAATTATAATGATCGTCAAAGGTAAAAGTTGGAAACATGACTACAAGATGTCGAATACTGCACACAGTTTCGAAAAAATTGCTAAGAAGATAAAAGGGGTAAATGATCTTATTATGATAACCAATCCTGAAGTCTCTTTAAGTCATGTTGAATACGATAAATATGAGCAGAAGTAATTGCGAGACATACTTTTATCATTTGCAAATAGCAATACTGAATAGGAAGATCGCAGAAATGTTATTAATGAAGATATTAATCAGAAGAGATCCAATATGAGAATCCAGACGGTTCTCAGATTTGTTATGAATGGATCTTGAATAAACATTATTATATTTTATTATCTTTTTATCTGTCAGTATGAACACAATTTAAATACGCTCGTAGACTGAATACCATACGTAACGTAGAAAGCAATATTGAGTGACTAACGATGGTCAAAGCTTTGGGAAAATCAGTATAATTAGTCTGAAAGGACTACTAATTCAGAATATTTTAATGACCAATAAAAACGAGGCTATACATGATGTAACGCTTGCCGGTTTATAATGACACGCAGCGATGACACGAGAGTAAGCCACAAGTGGATACGGATCTTAAGAAGATCGGATGGGACTCGTCATCAGGGCGAAACGTGTCCGCGTCGTGTCGCTGTAGCCGAGAGCTTCGGTATCCGCAATTCGTAGCTGAAAATGTAAGGGAGTTAAAACGCGATCCAATTTCTCAGGCCATTGAGTGCGGGGCGACTGCCATCTGTCTACTAACGGCTGGCCCCGTGCTTTTTACAGGCGAACCGTGAAATGCGCAAACAGAAGGTCTGTACCTCTTTTACATTCTAATCAAATCATTTCTCTATTACGTGGATCGGCCGCCTTAAAGAAGATCCTCACGAGACCGAAGGGTTTAATTTCTTTCTCCTTGTTCCCGCAAGGGAATCGCGTTTCACCCTACCCCCCGTCTCTCTCTGTTTCTCTTTCTCTCTGGAGATCATCAGCCATCCTTTTCATTTTCCTATCTTTCCCTTCTTGGTGGAAAGAGAAAGAGAAAGAGAAAGTTCGTGCTTTTCCACTCGCGAA